TTTCTATTTATCGAAAATGTAAAATATTATTTTATTTCATTCCTTTTTTTCTTCACCTTTAAATATTTCATTTTTAATGAAATTAAAGTTATATTTTTTATTTTTAATTGTTTATTTATTTTTGTTGTTTAATTTTTACTATAATTTTTTTAATTGTATTCTTAACTATATAATATAAAATTAAAACTTCGAAAAAATAATTTTAGTTTCTCATAAATGTCTATAATGTATGAATAAAAATTTTTCATTTAAATTTCATTAAATTTTTAAAATTTCTATTACATCCTTTTATATTCCATCACTTTCCAAATTTTTTTCCGATTTAATTTTCATTCTTTTAATTACTTTTGTTTTCATTGCAAAGAGTAAAATAATTTTAAACAATAGCAAGTCATTAATTTGAAGTAAAAAATTAACAAATAGTTATTATCAAATCTATGCTTAAAACATCTGCTAAACTTTTACCATTGATTTTAGTGTAATACTAATAATTATAATTTCTGCAAAAGCCTTTTCAATAAAAAATGAGATAATTATGGGTTGTTGTTTTATGAAGAAGAGAAATGAGGTAGTGATGATAATATTAGCAAAAGTAAAAACCATTATAATAGTAGTAGATGTAAAGACTTTGTCACTAACATATTAATCAATATCACCAAAGCTGTCAATATATTATTTTAGTCATACGGAAGTTTATTAGCTTTATAATTTCCCATGCAAGAATAGCTTTTTATTTTCATCCGCTAACTAAGGTTGTATTTAATTAAGCTTATATTGCAATACCTAAAAGACATATACCTTTCTAATGTTTAGAAGAAAAAAAGTAAGGCGTAGAAAAAATAGCTTCCGATGATAATTCTTTCATTAAATTTTAATTTTTATAAATAATTAAATTTTTGGAAAGCTATCAGAGAAATGCTTATTTCACTAAATATTGTCTAATTATTTCTCTTATCTTATTATATCACTAATTTTTTTTATTACATTAATTTATATCATATAAATATAAATGTTTATCAATTCATTGTTCTATGATATAATTTTAACAAAATCAAAAAACTTTTAAGTATAATTGAATTTTAAATATAATTGAATTCATGAAATTAGTGAAAATGGGTGGTAAAATTGATTACTATCATTGTATAATTAAACATTTCAAATTTATTTGAGTAAAAACAAAGGATTGGTTCAATTTAAATTGGAGGTAAAAACTTGTTGAAATACCTTTAGATGAATTCAATTAGATTAGTAACCTTAGACCTTACAATTCTTATGAGTGTCATTTGAATAGCATTATAAATTGAAGTAATCTCTGCACGATTAGAAATTTTGTCATTTTTCTCCAAATCATTTCATTCTTATAATTTTCTTCTTCAACAGAGTGATAAGAGAATAACAATTTAATTTCTTTTTATATAGTTTTAATAAACAATTTAATTTATTAATTACAAAATTAATAAACAGTTTAATTTATTAATTATAAAATTATCTCATTATTTTCGAATTAAATCTTTATTTTGAATGTTATTTGAGAAATTTAAAGTAATATTACATCTCTTTCTGATCGAACTATTGAAATTTTACGAATTGAATGATAAATGATTTTTTTGTTTGAAGAAAGGAAAGGAAGTGAGAAATGCGATAGGCTGGCAGCTATTTTAGAAATGGCTAGAAGGAACGAATTTTAAAGAGAGCGGTCTTTTTTAGTGTGATATTTGGAATGTAAGAGTGGTGTGTTCATTGATTTGAGTGAAAAAGACCTTTGAGGCTATGGGCCTTAAAGCGAATAAATTGAAGTTAAACTTTGATTCTCTCTTTCTTGTATCCTTTCATTTCTCTTTTATTTCCCTTTCTTTTTCTCTCTTTCCCTTTCTCGCTTCATTCAATCTTTTTTATCTAATTCATGTAACATTTTTGTTTCTCCAATATTTTATCCATTTCAATTCGAGAAACTGTCAACTTCTTAGATCTTCACATCCTAAAAGGTGAAATACGTTCGTCTTAATTTAATTAATAGTGATTAATAATTTAATTAATGATTAATAGTGATTAATATTAATATTGTGATGATTCTTTTTTTGAGGATTATTGAATGATATCTAAAAGGTGGAAGTATTCATTAGGATCAAATAAAGTTACAAAAATAGCATAGAAATTAAATTGTATCATATGATGATGATGATGATGATGATGATATTATAGAATATGAAACGGAAATCACCATTAATTAAGTCGACCGCGAAAGCGAAATCGTTCCGGATGATGTTGCTGATTGTCAAATTATGGGATAAAAAGGACAAAATTAGGGATTTTCATAGAGGAAAGAATAGTATTCTCAAAAAAGGATTGAATTCATTTTCATTCCGGAATGATACTTTGAAGAAATTATTAAACAGACAAATATTATCATTAAGGAATGCTAATTAATAACTTAATAAATATTGCTCATAGCGATTTTGAATGCTGATCCGTTAATTTAAACTAAAAATGTAATTATGATAATTATCACATGATGACAATAATAAAATTGTATTTTTAAAATCTAAATATTTTAAATTAAATATTCAAAAAAAAAATCCATCGATATCTTCTTAATCTGAAAATAACTAATATCGTTTTCTTCTTTTTCAAATTACTATTGATTTTAATTATATGTGATAAAAGTTATTTTGTTAAAAAAGAAAGAAAGCTGCCAGTAAGATTTGTTGATAATTTGAAATAATTAATAATGTGTGTATCATAATTTGAAATATTTTAAAATTTTCAGATTATTATATAAACAACTTACAATTGTTAGTTTTGGTTGCTTAATTGAATGCTTCTTTAAAGTATTTAATTACCAATTCATTTTTCTGCTTCATCTAATTCCAACGAAAACAATAAGTGTTTACGCTTCAAAATTATTCTCAATGTATTATTACTATTATTATTATTATTATTATTATAATATATTTTGAATGAACAATTTAACCGATAACATTCATTTTCATACAACAACAACAACGTCGTCGTCAATTCATGCAGGTTATTCTCTTTTCTTCTTTTTAATTTATCATAATTTAAAATCGAATAACTTAAAAGAAATTATTTTTAATATTTTAAAATTATCTTTACTCATTTTATTTTATTATTCATATATTCTTTTGTTTTATTTTTTTTGTCAAATCTTCTCTTCATTACTGTTATATTTCATTACTATTACACGCTGTTACATTTTTGTTTTCTCTTCATTACTGTATTATTGGAATTGATTAAATGTTTTTATGGATGAGTTATCAATTTTTCCAGTATTAATTAGTATTCTTACATTTTTTCTTCATTACTGTAATACTGGAATTGATTGAATGTTTTATGGATGAATTATAAATTTTCCAATTGTTATTAGTAGGATTTATTGAATTACTGGAATTTCTAATAGTTATACTTAATAAATTCATTTTAGCCATATGAAGTAATCAATTTCTTTTTCAATAATTTAATTCCCTTCTATTGTTTAATTTTTACATTTAATTATTAATAAATTCTAAATGTGAATTTAAATGAGAAATTATAAAATGGGATTTATTTTATCCTTTGATCATCTCAATTATTTCATTTATTTCTAAGTGATACTTAATAATATCTTTCTTTTTATCTCAAATAATCCATTCTTTTCTAAGTGATACTTTATGATATCTTCATTGTTATTGTCTTAATTGCATGCTTATTTATTAACTTTGAACAATAGAGTTCCTTCATTCAATCATTGTTAATTTGAAACTTGTTGATATTAGCACTAGACATAGATAATGTTAATATATAAGATTAAGAATAATATACATAGGTTGCGATTAAGAATAATACACATAGATACACATAGAATAATATAGAGAGGTAGATAAGTTGGATAGGTTGCGCCAAATTTATATCATTTTTTTCAAAAAAATATTTTGTTCTTGAAAATAGCAATTATTTCATTATTTTAATCTCGAAAATTTCTTTGATAAATTTTCTAATTGTTTCATAATTATTTCATTGTAATTTCAGGCAAAAAACTTTCTGCAAATTATATTCTCAAATTTTGCAGCAAAAAAATTTACAATTTAACTACAACAATCTCATTACAATATTTAATTAATGAAAATATGAACTTTTCTATTTTTCTTTTGTTTCTTTTATTCTAATTTCAAATTGAGTGCTTTCAAAAGTTTTGTGAAAATTTTAGAATTTTTAATTTAATTGTAAATAAAAGCTTAAATATTCTATTTGTTATTTCCTTTCCATTGTGGCATGTTATCAGAAGGTATAATAAGATGTTATCTATTTGCTTATCTTTCAATTATGTTCCAATCTTATCCATACAGCTAATGCGGCTTGTTATCAAGAAATAGATAAGACTGTTATCAAACTCTTATCTATTTGCCTATCTTCTTAAGCTGTGTTCCAATCCTATCCATCGAATTAATGCAATGCGATGTATTATGCAATTATTTCATTACTTGAAAAGGCATTCATCGAATGTTTTAGTAATTTGTTTAATTCTAACTTTAAAAGAAGAAAAACTTTTTTCCTAAAATCACAATTAAAACAGTATGGAATGTTTTCCAAATAAAGTTGCAATTTGGAATTTCAGAATGCTGCAAAGATAATCAATCGATCATATACACAAAACTATTTCATCTATAATTATTGTACCTATTCATTAGAATTTCATTTTTTCTCCTCAATTAAATTGCATTAAACGTTTTGCAAGAGAAATCGAGAAAGCACTTTGATGCAGAAATTCTCTCGGGAATTAAGGGATAAATACCAAAATTCCAATTAAAACTTTCGCTTCTTCTATAAACAATTAAAAAAAAGTATGGCTGCCATTTTATTAGTTTTAATTCGATATCAAAATAGCTTCCCTCATTTTTTATATAAATGAATTATGTTTCTTTTCAATATTAATTAATTATTAAGAGCTGCCAAGATGATTTATTGATCTGCGATAAAAGGGAAACACCTATCATATTTGCATTATGTTGATTATTCTATTTATAAAGCATGAACTTAATGTAATTTATAGGCCTCTGTGAATTTCGATTCAAGAATAACACTTTTATAAATTTTGATTTTGACACTAAAAAAAATTCTATTTTTAACTAATGATTATTTTTAACTAATTAAATTTAACTTTATAACTTCGGAATGATTCTACAACACACCAACTGACTATCATCCAATGTTTTGTTTTAATTTTCTCTTTTGATAACAAACCTAATTTCTTCCTTTCGAAAAATTTCATTTCCTTTTTGCTTTTTTTCATAAAACTTCGATTAATTTGCAAGATTAGTATTTCTTTTTCTTTTTGTTTTTACTAATTAATATCAAATTAAAATAAAAAAAATGCTTTTGTTTTTCATAACATTTTTTTTCTTCATTAAAAAATTTTAATTTTTGAAATTTTATTTTCCATAAAAATTTTTTAAGTTATAAAAACTAATATTGTGATGTTTAATTTAGAATTGAAATTAAATTGTCGATAGAAATTTAGCAAAATCATTCAGATATAAAGAAATTTTGAAATTAAGTCGGTAGCATTAACACATTAAAGCGATTTCCGAAATCGATTGAATCCAATTCAACGATCACGACGAATACGGTTGCAACATTTTCAACGCCGCTTGATGATTGCTACTGTCAATTGAATCTACGATCTATTTCTGGTTATTGGAATTTATATTCAGCAAAAAGTACTACTGAAGATAAGGTACTCATTTAGAGAATAGATTTTTAGATTTCTATTTTTAGATATATGATATTGATTGATTTTTTTTTTGACTTATTTAAAGGTATGAGATATTGATTGATTTCTTTTTTGATTTATTTGAAGGTGTACGATATTGATTGATTTGTTTTTTGATTTATTTAAAGGAAAGATTCGAAATAAACAAAAAATTTCAAATTTAGTTTTTTAGGATTCAACGATATTTGTTTTTAATCGAAAGAATAATATCAAATCACCGTCACGTTTAGGACGTTATAATCGTCTTACATTAATTGATCTTATTCGATATGATATTTCACAACTTTCTTCACTTACTCATCCACGAATTTTACAAGTTCTTCATGATCTTAAAGAAAACAAGTAAGTGATAAAGTAATTTTAATTGATATCAATTAATACAAACTAAGAAAGTAATTTATAATTTAATCAATTTGATAATTGCTTAAACTTTCTTTGAATTTAATGAAAAATTTGATGTTAAAAAAGTGCTTCAAAATATTTTACTTCAGGAAACTGAAGAATGTTTTTGTGAAATTTACTTAAAGATAATAATTATTCATTTTAGTTACGTTCTGATTGTTTAATCTCAATTCTTATTGCATCATTAATTTAAAAGATAAAAAATTAATTAGCAAAAAAATAAGGTGAAAGTTCACTCTGAATTGAAAGCAAAAAAATAAGGTGAAAGTTCACTCTGAATTGAATAATTTGCCAGAGAGATGATAACTTTTGCTTCGGAACATATTCAAGCAAATTTGGAAGTGGTTGTGATTAATGATGGACTTGATAGATTGGAGGTGAAACTTGGTATCTTACAGGTTTGTTTCTTATCATAACATTCATTTCAATTGATCTCTTTTAAATTTAACTTACCCTACTGGTACTTCTTGGTCCAAAGCATCCTATTTTAGTCTTCTTTTAAGGTTTATGCTTTCTCCTCTAATTATTACTTCCACCTTAGCACTCTAATTAATACTTTCATCATTCTGCAAGAGATCAAAAAAAAACTTTGCCCTTCATACATCCATTTGGTAATCGGAGGAATTTTGAGATGGAATTTTCTTCCTTTTTCCCTTTTCTTTACCTATCACTTACCTATCACCTATCACTTCATTGATTTCAATTTTTTCATTCTTTCACAAAAATTATCTAATCCAAATTACACACCAAACTAAAGCGATAATTATTATTAAATTGAAAAGACGAAAAAGAGTGTTTTTGAAAATTATTTTTCAAAAATTACTAATAAAAATTATTTTCGATAATTACAATCAGAAATTGCAAATGAGAAACAGGTAAGGGTAAAACAGGTAGAAACAGGAGAAACAGGTAAAAATTACAAATGAGAAATGCATTAGTGTATCGTAAGATAGGTAAAGAAATGCTATGTTAATTGTTGACTTAAATAATTTGGATATGCCAATTGTTGACTTAAATAATTTTGAATTTGAAAAGTTAGCAAAAGGAATATATACACGAAGGATCAGTATTCAACTGTCATAAACTTTCTGCTATCAAATAGAATATCATATCTATCGGAACTTATTTCAAGAATAAAGAAATTAAGAAAATATGTTTAAAAAAATGTAATAGTAAATAAATGATAATTAACAGCAATATTACTATCATACGATATCATATAATCTTAAGGTTATCATTATTGCACTACGATTACGATTAATTTTTACTGCTTAATAGTAATTTATATTTATATGAAAATAAATAGAAATCATTCCAAGGAGAAATAAAAAATCAGTTGAAATTTTTAGCTGATTGATGGCCTTTCATATTTGCATAATAGTGCAAAAATCCTTCATGGTAATTTAACGCCTAGTGTTATCTATATAACGTCATCGAGAAATTGGAAAATTGCTGGATTTGCCTTTTCAGTAGTTGCTCGTGAACCGGTAAATTATTGTTAAATCAATTTTAGAATTACTTTATTAATTTAATTAAAATTGTTTTAATTTTTTAAATCTCTTTAGCAGAATATTCTGGAGAGTAACAATAAGCTAAACTTTCCTGAAGAAAATATGATTATACTGTTGCTGAATCATATCAATCAGATTAATTAGATAATATATCAATCATTTTTGATTTTCATTTTACATTGTTGTAAAATTAATAAAAAATTTTATTTCAAATTATTTTTAATTTTTCTCGAAAAAAATTCCTAATTTAAAACATTATTTTATGATTAGCTTTTTCATAAATAATAATCTTATTTAAGAAACTAGTCCATTTTTTTGCAGAATGTATTTCCACGTTTCCCGTGGACCAAAAAATTACCGTTACCTTTGCAACCGGATCTTGATTTCCTAGCGCCAGAATATTTGCTATCAAATGAAAATTCGGTTACTTCAGCAGCAGATGTCTTTTCATTGGGTGTACTCATTTGTTGGATATGTGCTGGTTAGTATATTTCTAAAATTTCATCTTTTTTCCTTTCAGTTTAATTTATCAGTTTTTATTAAGCAATAGATATGAAGTGATAGCTATAATTCTATATTGATATGTAAGTAATACTGATTACCTTCTATGAAGGACCAATATTAAATGGTTCTGTATCAGATGCTTGAATCAAATTTATTTTCGATAATTACTTTTGAAAATTATCACTCCGAATAGTGGAAAAATAAAGAACATTTGTGGAAATTACGACAAAGATATGCTCTAAGTACCAAATAATCAAATAGGTTTATCAAAACTTTAAATTTAGAGAACGAATTAAATCATAAATTATTCGATTCTCAATTACATTATAAAATATTCAATTGAATATTTGCTACTTTTTATTCATTTTTTCTTAGAGAAATTAGTTTTATATTAAATTGTCTTTTTGGTTGATTGTTATTTTGTTTTCCGAAATAAATTTTAAATCAAATCGCAAAAAATTAAATACACAAAATTTAAGAAATATAAGTAATTAATTATTCCTTAATGATTTTACTTATTTTAGGTGGAAAACGATTAATTGATGCTAAAAACAATGTGGAAACATATCGCGTAATTTGCGGACAAGTAATTATTATTATTATTTATTAATTAAAATTACATTTCAAATTATTTTTTCTATTATTTCCTTTGAAAAGTTTGAAAATTTTTTAAACAATTAGAGCCAAAAATTAATATTATTTAATGAATTTTTGTTTGATAGAAAAATTTTTGTATTTAATAATTACAAATATTCGAGTTTAATTCCAAACAAAAAATCTCACTCATTATGTGAAATATTTTAGCAGAGATTAATAAGATTTAATAAGAATATTTATTTTACAATTATTTTATATTAAATGTGAATATTTTTTATTATCACTTTTCATCTGTTTGAATTTTTAGGGTTAGACTTTAATGACTAATTTCATCCTTACAGCTTGATACGGCGCTGAAATGTATCGCTGAAGAACTTGGACCGAATTTATTGGATGCCATGGAGAAAGTACTCAGTTTGGATGTCGACAAACGTCCTACCGTTCAATTTCTTGCCTTGGTTGATAACAATTTTTTAGTATTCTGAATTCATTATACCATTTGGTTGGAATGGATTTATTGAATTTAAATATTTGAGGCATCATAGTTTACACAGATTTCACAATATACTCTATAATTAAGCTTATCATCATAAGAACAAATTAATGTTTTAATATTTGTATTGTTGCAGATAAAATATTTTGATGATCCAGTACTTTCTGCACTTCGTCAACTTGATGATATCATGCAAGTTTTTGATCCGGAACAAAAGAATGTATTTTTATCGCAAACTCTTTATGATAATTTATCGATTATTCCAGAAGTAAGGAATTATCTTGGGAAATAAATATTTCTCAATTAGCAATTAAATTATGAATATTTTTCCAATAGATATGTCGTTTTTTAAATTCATAAAAATCAATTACTACATTGCAGAATTTATGGTTTTCAAGGATATTACCGCGTTTTGATGAGTTTTTTATCGATTGCTATGATTTATATGCTGCCTTATCTCGTCCACTATTCTATATGTTAGATCAATGTGAAAATGAAAATATAAATAGGTTGAAGCCATGGATATATAGGATCGTACATCATTCCGTCCAATGCACGGTTCGCTTCTGTTTATTGCAATTTACCATATTTAATTTTTTATTATAATCCATATCATGTACAGTATAATATCACTTCGTTACTGTTAGTTTTACTATAATCCGTATCATGGGTAGTATTATATTATTTCGTTACTGCAATTCATATCATGCACACTTCATTATTTTTACTATAATCCATATCATGAACAGTTTAACGTTACTTCATTATTGCGATCCATATCACGCATAGTATAAATAGTCTTTTCATTCAGATTCTTATCCTACGATATGCCCATTTAATGAAATACCTGAAAAGAAAGTATTGAATAGTAAGTTACCTATCCGAGGAGATATACGATTGAAGAAATAAATTTTCAGTTAACTCCTTTAATTTTGGAAAATATGAATGCATTATTTCGACGTCTGTCTGATGATAAAGAAGTGGAAGATCTAATGCAAGATTTAATTATTATGTGTGTTAAGTCGCAAGATATTCATATTCAAGTAAAAATATTTTTGAAATCTTTTAACTTTTCAACAATCTAAAAAAAACTTTTTCAAATTTTCACTTTTATTTTTTAATCTTTCCTTTTTTATTTAATATATTGTTAAATAATTATATTGCATAGTATTTCTTTTTTTAGGATAAACTAATTCGTAGTATACCAACGATGGCAGAATTTCTTTCCAATCGATTCCTCTCAAATCGACTTATTCCTTCGTTTAATTATTTTTCATCATACCTTGATGATGATATTACGGTAATTTCTTTTTTTTGTAAAATATGAAAATGAATTGGTTGATTGGTTTAATTATTAATTTATCACATTATCTATTTCAATTGATAATACGGTGTTTCCATTGTTCCTTTCACGTACGTTAAACGAATAAACGTGCTGAAAGTTTTTTAGCTTTTCGCAATTGTTGCACACATGAAATTTTATACATGGAACATTTGATTTTTTGATCTCGAAATGATCTGGAAATGAATAATTTTTCCAGAGGCAATTGAACTTTTTGGCTTGCATTGGAGCGTTATCAGATAACTGCGATTCAAATGTATTGAATATGTTAATTGCGGCAATACCAATGTGCAATATGAGACATAGCGTCGTCATACATACAGTATCACGTGTGCTAATATTATTTTGAATAAGTTATTACAATATTAGTCATTTCGTGAGTGGAAAAATTGAACATGGAAAAATTTACAATTTTAAGTGTCTCCTTTGCGGTTTAATTTGTTAGCTGCGACGCATTTCGCATATACAAAATCCTTCTATAAGTTCATTATGCTCTTATATGACATCGGTTTTAGCAAAAGATAACATTTAAAAATTTATGAAAAAATTTGAAATTAGCCATCTAATTTTTTTTCACTAAAGTTTTAATTAATAAAACAAGAAAGAAATTAAATTAATCCGTGGAACCTATAAGTATTTATTGATTTTGAGGTCTGGTGCAACGAATATTGATGTATGATGCTACGCGATTGCATGATCGTGTCGTGATTTGCAATTATCTGTTGAATCCACTGACACTTGGATTAGCTTCAAATGATCTGAAGGCAACGCAGTTTGAGGATTTGATTAATACAGTGCGAATTTTAATTGACATAGTCGAACATTTGAGAAATATGAGATCGAATATAAATTCATCACGTAAAAACTCTGCTTCATCATTTGGGTGAGCTTTGCTGACACATTTTAAATGCAAACACTATATTACTCTAACTTTTTCACTAATCTAATATACAAAAGATGATAAGTAAGTTTAATACACCGAATTTGGCCATTATCCTGATTTGCAATTGCAATTAACGGTTTAGATTTAATTTGAATCTTAAACTGTAAACTATTTACAGACGAATGAGCAGTCGACGGGTAAGTTTGAGTAGCAGTCATTTACCGCTTGTTATGATCACTGCTGAAAGGCCTGCATGTTCTAGTTGTGGATACGATTCAAGGTAATTTACTTCTTCACTAATCACTAAATAATTCCTTCTATTTGAGACAATAATAAAAATGAATTAGCAATAATTTATTATAACTCTTTCGAGGGGGCCTATAATGTTGAATCATCCCGTTTAATCATCCACTTAATGGATCCTAAATGACAACTTAATATTTTCCAAATGCTCGATAATATATCTCTTACCATATTGTTTAATTTTCAATACTGCTAAACTTTGATAAGACGCCTATTGGCTTTCAACAGACTAATTGTTTTTGTTTTAGTTTTCAATTAATTTTTTATTTTGAACATAGGACAATTTAATCATAAATTGAAGCAAACTGAAATAATGTACGAATATATAAACGAATAGCTGAAATTTTTTTTTAATTAAAAAAATAAGAATTCAAATACTTTTATAAAAGTTACAGTCTAAGAAAGATATCGTTCCTGTCTGCAGATGGTCGGTTGGAGGATCAACATCATACTAGTTCTGGAATGGATAGCAAAAGTTCCTTGGAATCAAACCTTTCATCGAAGTTAGGTAACTGAGAAATCTTTCAATTTCTCTTTAATATCTTTATTTTATTATAAATTTCTTAAAATGCAGTCTTATATGAATAATATGATTAGGAGTTCTTATATCTTCATTTTATTATAATTCATCACCATATATGTTATCCACAACCTCAGTTTATTATAAAATATTTTTTCAAGGTGATATTAGTGATGTGTCAGATGAACAGCAGTCGTCATCATTAATCGAAACAAAACAACAATCCTGGTTGGATGCTGATATCGCGCACCTCTTCGACCAACCTGCCACCGAAACAGTAATTCAGGAAAGGTTTGTTCAACGTTCTTCATATTTGACAAAAAGATTGTCGAGCCATCATATGCAGAAGTGTTTTATGAAAAAACATAGTGTGAAAACAGTTCTATTGATTGGATGATTGGAAAGTCCTTTACGTGCTCCTTTAAAGCGCGATATTGATTTTAAATACTTTTTCTTAATTTGCTGCAACTTTGTTTTGCTTTATTGCAGTTACTTCTAAATTAAGACACTATCATAAGTTTTAAAAGATTTCAGGAAGCGCTGCAAAAGTGAACGACGGTCAAGAACACGCTCACCAATGGTGGATGAAGTTGGCGGAAAAGGACAACCAACTAGGCCGAATAGTTTCACCAACTTAGGACATAACCTGGTGGGGAATTAATCAATTGCAACAATACAAAATGATTTTACTATTATAAGTGAAAGCATTATCCATCAGATATTATTATCCATCTAAAAACTCTCAAATAATATAAGATCTATAACTACATTAGAAATCATAACGTTTTCGGGATTCCTGGAAGACTTGAAGTTTTTCTATTTCATACATTCGATTGCTATGCATAATTACGGCAAAACGATTCGACCCAGAATAATTTCTGAGTAATTTTCTAATGTTGGTTATAGATTTCCCAAACATCTGTTTTTTAATGATATAATCTTGAACCTACTCAGGATATCTTGTTCCCTGAAAATGACTCCTTTCAGGCTTGTACGTTATGGAAAACCTTTTATTGATATGACAGAAGTGATTATATTAATTATTTCGAGTTAATACTAATATCGAAACTGCACATTCTTACATTCCTGTAAAACTTCGATCAACTGATTAAAATGTCCACTCATATGAAACAGGCTGAATCAAAAGATACATATACATATGTCGCTAAAAAGTCCGTAAATTTGTGGAAATAGTATATACAAAAGGTACTTCTTTTAACAAATAAACAGAGCAGGTATGCAAAACATAGAAGTAGATATAAAAAACAGTATATGAAAAATTCAAAAATATAAAAAACAGCGGATAGAGTTGAAAAATACAAAAACAACAATTATAACTTCAATTTCGATTGACTTCCAAGTTCCAGTACTGTTTTCAAAAGGAGAATGTAATAAATAAAAGAATTTAAGGAGAAATGATTATTTGGAAGTTTGAAAATCAGTCGATAATTATCGATAATTTAAAAGTTGTTAAAGCTGTTCTATATCACGAAAGAATTAAGGAAAAATATTGTAATTTCATGATAATGATACTAGAAAAGGGCAGTTCCTAATTTCAATTTTATTTATGTAATCATATTCGTAACGATCAAGGTTAATGGTACAAGGACATACTAATAACTCGTTTTTTTTAATTCGTTTTTCCACTTTTACCGATGAAAATTCTTGCTTTCATTGATTGGGATAGTTTGCAAGTTTCATGACAAGATGTGCAAGAATTACAGAACAAACAATTTTGTCACATAATTATATACCATACACAATGACCTTCATGTTTAATCATGACTATTATATACAACGACAATGCATGGAATTGTATCTCAATCGAGCGGCGTTTAGCAAACAGCTCAGACCGAATAAGTATTGAAAGAAAAAACTGAGGTATATGCTCGTTATTTTTGAATTCACCGCCACCATGCTCTATTAAATGCTATTGTTTGGAAATTTGCATGTGTACCGTGCTTTCATATCGTTTCGACATGTATATAAAGTGGATATTAACCATTTGTTATTTCGATATACAGTGTATGTTTTGCTGCTAATAGAAGGCAGAATTCAGATTAATGTTCCTTGCACACCTTTGAAAGGGTTGTCATTACGAAATACTAGAGCGATGAGTTAACAAATAGTCTAGAACTTAAAGTGTTTCAAGATGGAGTAAGCATGAGATAATGGCATGCTGCTATCAAATATACGAGCACACAACTCTTCTAGGATTTAATAAATTCTAGTATAAATATACAACTTCGCCTAAAACTATTTATTTTGGTTTTGCGAATCTTTTTAGAAAGAATAAATCTGAAATATAAAAGGTAATATGAGGACAACAAAATGAACTCTCTGAAGACTCCTTATAACCTTAATCAGTCCACAGCTATCATAGAACAACTCTGCTCTTATGAATATAGAATTTCAAATATAAATTCCCGGTCTTAAAAGCCACATATCACATAATGTCACACCCCGATAACGGAAGAGCTCATTACACTTGCATATTTGGCCGACTTCTGTTTTCAGGGTGCACGTTATCTTCTGCAGTTGCTTTAGTTTAATTCTAGTTAGGTTCCCTCAGTTTATTTTTGTTTGAGTTATTTGTATATTTATTTTCTCATGTAGATGTAGCTCTTCTGTTTTTTGTCATATACATTACGCTACAATACTTCGGTAGTTCAATAGCAAATTATGTTTTATTTTTTCTACTTTTTTTCAACAGTTGTTAAGATAAGGGGCAAATTGAGAATTTATGAGAGTGCTGAGAGTATTTCATTTTTCTTCCCCTTTCTCTTGCTTTCTCCATATAATTATTACAAAGTTTGTGCAGTTAAAAATATGTTGTCTATCAAAATATGTTTTCCATGAATCATATTGAAACATTAGCTTGTAAAACTTGAACTTGGAATATGTTAGAACCATGCTGATACGTGTCAAGACCTGTATACACAAAATACGCTCAAGATGCTCTTTTTTTATCTGTAAATATCGAAATATAGTATGAGAAAATTTTCGAACTCTTTACCCATATTTTTGTGCTATCATTCATTAGTATATGCTAATCGATTGGCAACCATATCCTTTTTGGCTACGCATGAGAATTATGACGCTGACACGTTTAGCTCGTGAACTTTCATGTCCTCATACGTTTAGATCGGACATTTCATAAGCCGCAGAATACCTCTAAGTCTTCAATTCTACTTCTGGAGATGTATTATCGAAGACATATTATCTTTGGACGTATTATCTTTGGTAGTATCTCGAGTTCATCGGTGATGCTTATTTCATTCCGTCTTTTAAAACTTAAAGAAGAGCGATTTTATGGCATCGCGGAACACTCCTTATTTTTAGAAACATGATAAGTTTCCGAGAGTTTTTTTCCTTAAGGAGGGATTTTACTTTTTAATCTATTTCAGATCTTCTAGCAGTTCCTTATCATCGTTCGCAGATATCATAAATTATTGAAAGGACTCTACCCGAAGAGTGTATGTCGGGTGAATCAGTGTTCGTGACATACAAAAAAAGCGATACAATAACTGTCTGGTTGGTTTCATAAAGTTCGACAGAACAAGACTGAATTTATCTGATTTCTATACAGGTTTAAGTGTAATTTTTATGAGGATTTATACTTCTGCTGAATTTAACAAATTAGTTTATTGAAAAGAAAAATATTTGTTGAAGCGTTCGAGAAATTTTACAAGACGGTGTCGGGCGATTGCAGTCTTCATTGTAAGATTTGGGAGAAAGTAAGAACAGGTTTGTTTAGAAACATAAATGCGTTATGGAGAGATTCAGAAGCTTTATTTAAAAAGTTTGAGAGCTGTTTGCAGTGAAAATGATTATTTAGTTTGGAGTAATATCAGCAAAAGTTTTGTTGGAAACTTAACCGCTAGTGCACTTTTGCAAAAATATGTAGATTCTGTGGGAATTTGATTCTGATTTTCTCTTTTTGTTGCTTTTATACTTCATAAAAGTTTTCATGAAGCCTTTTATTGTATGAATTAAATTTTAAAAAGCCGGATTTTAAACTGGACTATTAGTGTATCTACTTATTGGGTTTCAACGGCGAACATCGATATAAGTAGACGAAGTTCGCATCATTGAATTTTACTTTAGATTAACGGAAAAATAATGACGGAAATACATTTTTCCCTCATCGTGTTTAGCTTCATCTCATTCTATACTGACTGTATTTTCTCATATTACCATAATCTCTCAACTTGTCGAATTTTGTTAAAATTTGTCAGATACAACTATTCCACTTATATATCCCGGTTTCATTTTACAATTACTTATCTTTATAAGACAGAATGAACACAGAAGATTCAAATAATAAGTAGCGCGGAGGAAATTGTTCCCAAAGCATGAAAGTAGTATGCTACCCACTATTAGGTAATTGGTTTTGAGTAATCTGGAGTAAAGATTACGTCAATATTTTTATGAAGACGTCTTCTGGGCGGAATAATACCAAGCTATTTAGAAACTTAAAATAAATTTCATAAAGTATTTGCAATCATGCAGTTGGTGTTAGCTTGCCATAAGGTAGTACCACATGAATGATCGTTCCGAATATAGCACTTTACTGCAAACAATCTCGCAAACAAACAATTTGCTGCAAATATTCCGTATTAAAATTATGGGCAAATAAATATTATTCAAAAGATTTAAATAGTTCTGTGTACAGTATCGAAATTAGTCATCCGTTGCTGTAGTCAAAAATTCCCCTTCATCAGTTTTGCAAGGTTACGAAGCAAAATCAGTGTTGCGAAATCAAAAAATATTTTCTTCATTTTTAAGAGGACGATTCGTCATCGAAAATTTTATGAGAGATAGGTAATGTATGTGTTAGGCTTCCTGTTTTCGTTCTTCCGCACTTCAATCGTGATTGAGAATTGTATGATAGATATGAGATAAGTTTATCTAATGTTCTTTAATTAATATTTATAGAATAAATTTAGTGTCGCCTGTTGTAAATCATTCTAATTATTCTGGTCACATTTCAGATGATCTAATTCTTACTGACTTTTTCAGAATTGTTTTATGAATAATCCGTCCAAAATCACCATTATCTTCCACCATCGTCGACCACCCTGGCCGGGTATCAGTTTCTGACTGCTGTTATCATTGTCTGTCACTTCGAGTTAAGCAGATAAATCGTGCAATTTTCAAAGGGTTTGTTTGTGTTTTTCAAACTTCTTTTAATATTTTGATCATGAATCTTTATTAATGGTTTTCGCACAATTTAGATTTTCATATATATCTATAGGTAAAACATATAATGCAGAGTTCTTGCTAAATATAGTTGGTTTATATTGGATTCGATTGTTGGTCGAATATTCGCCTATTACAAATAAAGACAAAATATGAAATGTAGTTCAAGTTTTACTAAGTTAGAAGGTTTTAATAAATTGTGTGTTGTAGCATGTCAACTTCTACTCTCTCTGATGGTTCTCTTAATGAAGGTACTTTTGCTGCAGAAGATGTACCTGGTGTGATTGATGATTATTTTTTTGAAGGTTGCAGTTTTATCTTAAACATCATTACAATTAAAGTTCGAAATTTTTGCGGGCTGATTCATTGGAAACCCAAATTAGCGGGATCTGTAATATTTAAAACTTAAGATTTCGAAGTTACAAGTTACTCTACTATTGACAACTACCTTTTTTCAAA